TGTCTAGATGGGAATTTCTACTCAAATAATAGTCATCCAGCAGCTGGATCATTAACATTTTCAGTGTCTTCTCAATTCTAAAGATTTTAGGCTGCGAGGTCAGTTGGGTGGTTTCTAAAAATTATACTAATAGATGTAAAAAGAGCATTCACCAAACCACCAACACATTATCAAATAGTTCTATTTCAAGCATATGGCAGTAGAAGTGATTAAGAAAGTGTGGGCTATGAAATAGATCTGCTTATCTCGTGGTACATCGCAGAGATGCATTTCAGACTGGAGGCTTGCTTAGTGCAGAAAATAACCTGTATTATGAAGATAAGAGGTACAAGTGGATATCCCTCCCTCCCACTCTCTTGGGTGTGATTGTCTCAGGCAACCATATTAGCAGAAGCTTAGACTCATTTTTAACTTCTGGAACAGATTTGCCAAAGTAACAGTGCCTACAGAGAATGACAGTAATAAAATGGGCAGTGTATTGTGGAGGAAAATAAAGTTGGCAGCTTGGAATGGTGGAAAACAGCTTCAGATAAGCATGTGCTTCAATAGAAATTAGTCTCTGTCCATAGACATGATAGCAGCCAGTCAAAACTGCTCTTTCAGTTCAAGCAGTTAATAATATCTTGGCACTGGAGCTTAAGGGATACAATTTGCAAAGTTATAGTAGTGTGGGAGCGATAAATTTCAGCACAAAGCAGGCAGCATTCCATATAATTTATTTTAGGTTTCCATCCAGGGTATGTTCTGACACTCCACATGAAAGTCAAATTGTCCATGTAAAATGGTTTTCAGGTGATAAGTTGACCCCTGGGGTTTTAGTAAAGTAATAGACTCCAAAGTCTCTCTGACTCTTCAATCTATAAAAGGCAGTTATCAGCTGTTTGAAGGATTTCAGAAGAAGGAGAAAAAAGAAAAAAGAGCTTTTGTATACTGACATTTTTCTCATTAATGGGGACAATGTTTGAATTACAAAGTCCTTCTGGATTTGGTAGTAAATACTCTGCTGACGTGTTTTGGGAAACAGTTGTTCTGCGTGAGGACTGTATGTGTCTAATCTACTGTGATATGCATATAGAACAAAGAATATTTCTACAGACACATACAGCCCTTCAGAAGAGGGGCATTTGCTGTGCCACCATCTGGCCATCATTTCTAAATGCATTCTACCACCAGAGCCTACCTCTGCAAAAGTTTTGCTGGGGAGTGACTGTCTTACGGTGCCTACAGAAACACCAGGAGAGTAACAGCAATGACAGCTTTCCTGCCAGCATTCTGAGTTTAAAATGTAGTGCAAAACAAGCAGTAACCCGAAAAGAAACAAGGCATCACTTTAAGTTCTTGTCTGAATATTCTTGCAGGACCTGCTGTGATTTTTCTTTTTCCTAGTGGTACTGTTTTATTTAAGTATTGTCTTGAGAATACTTTCAAGTACTTCCTATTGTACCCTGTGGCTTCACTGACAGTTCAAGCAGATCCACAGTTGGGTAGAGCCTTTGTTGCATTTCAGTTTAGTGGATGGGTGCATCTGCATATACATGGATTGAAATGCAGCACTAATAAGTAACAAGGGAAAGGTGACAGTAAGATAGGACTAGTCATAGTGACAGTAGAAAAAGCTTACCTAATAAAATGCTAAAAGCATATTTATATTTAGTTGAGTGTCCCTTTGAATTTTGAGCAAAGAAAATACCTCCTGCTTTTATAAAGAACTCTGCCCAAGAAAACAGGATTTTTCTACAGTCTATGTAAACAAAAATTATTGTCTCAAAGAAAAGCCCAAGTCCCTCTTCAGTTGTTTCTCATGTTAAGCAATGCCCTGGATTTTCCCTGCTTGTGTCTGTGATGAACGTCTAGTTCACTGCAGAAGTACTGCCTGTTACACTGTGTTGCTGGCACTTCTGCATGGCATGAAGGTGGCTGCAGGGAAGGCATCTGTTTGACTTCTGGGTTACTGGGGGAAGAGGCAGTTGTCTCCTCTGAGAGGAATGGAGCAGTGCTTAGGGGTGGGGCATCTGACACTCCCAAGTGGGGTAGAGAAGAGGGGAAATGCCGTGAGCTAAGATCTTGTAGGCAATGCTGTGGAGGAGATGGGGGTTTTCTTGTGAGACAGAGCAAAGCTTTGTAAGCAATGGGAGGATGGAGAGTTCCCTAGAGCAGGCTGATGGTGTCTGTGGTGCTCTCTGAAACATTTGGAAATTTTCAGGTTGGAAGTAAAACTGGAGAGAAGGATTTACCCTGCAGTGATGCTATGGGGAGAGTAATTTTCAAGCATTTCTATTTAATCTTGCTCTCCAACACATCAGACTTCTCATGTTTTAAAGAATAATTCTGTCATTTTAATAATGCCTGTTCTTAGAAATCTGGATTCTGTGGATGTGCTTGTCAGAAGGAAAAGCTTCTACCTAACTACAGTTGTTAATTAAGGGTCCTGCAGGTAAGATTAAAAAGAACTAACTGCTCTTAAACCTTGCTTTTCTGTGGTTTTGGTTGGTTGGGTTTAGCTTTACAGAGGTAAGTGGGTGCTGGTGCTGCAAGTGGGTAAGCTGAAACACATGTGGGATAGTCCTATTCACTTGAGTGAACTCCTCACTCACATATATGCTCTACTGAGGTCTGCTGGAGCATGCTCAAAAGTAAAGTGTCTGTCATGTTCTTGAAGTGCTTTTCTTCTGGAAGAGAAGATCTGAGGACTTCTAACTTTTGCTAATGACTGGATTTAATCTGCATTAATGCTTTCCAGAGTAGGTATGTATTTTCCTTTATGTTGTTTGTCACTGAGGCTGATTTTGAAAATGTGTCATCCCATGTCAAGGTTGCAGGTGTTAGCACTGAAATGTTTACCTGTTCATTGAGCTGATGATTAAAATGTTTGTATTTGTGGCCCCAGTTAATTGTAGGCCACACCTTTTGCTTACTTGAAGCTCTGTGAGAAATTGTTTCTTTTCCTGGGGTAGGATGTTGCACAGAAGGAAGAACTTTATCTGTATTGCTCCATACCCTTAATAGGTATCAGGAAGAAGTGCTAGGCTGATCCAGGGTCACGTGCTGCAGCTGTGTAAGTGCTCACTGTGATTGCAGCTGTAGGTGGAGCTGGTGTCAGACATGGAAACATGGTTCAGGCCTGCAAGGAGAGTCACACACAGGGCTCTGGATCAGGGAAGGCACACAGAGCAGCCATTTGGCCAGTGTCAGCCTCCTCACATCAGCTTGCCCTGGCCAAAGACAGCAATCCATTCCCCCAGCAAAGTAAAATCACTAAAGAAGCCTCTCTCACAGATACGCCTTCGTGAAAAAGTTCCTCCCATAACTTTTAACATGGGAGTGGGGCATCTGGCCCAAGACTTTAACTCAGTTCATCTTGTAACTTTAAAAGAGGAAAAATAACAGGCCAAAGTATTTTCATTTTATTTCTCAGAGGCGCAGCTTTAGGAAGCACCCTTTGCTTACATGAAGCTTCACCTTCATTGCCTGTACTTTGCCCTGTCTCTCCTACGGATAACCTTTACACAGATGCTATGTTTCACATGGCTAGACAAGGTTGTGCTGCCTGGTCAGACTTTTTTGGAAGTCAGTATGACTGAAACATGCTTGTGGAGACCTGTGATGAAAGTACTCAGAGAGTGTGATTCTGTGTTAAGCATGCAGGCTCGTTCTGCGTTAAGCATGCAGGCTGGCTCTTGACCTTTGCCACCCAGCTGTTCTGACAACCCAGTTGTTCTATAGGGTGGTTGTGTGAAATTAGGTAAAACAAATGCATGAGTAACCACCACCCCACATTTCCTGTTCAGAAGCTTGGGTCTTACCTTCTGGCAATGCTGTTACTGCTAGAAAGAAGTGTGTATGTGCAGAGCAGAGCAGACTAAAGCGTTATCTTCTACAGTTACATTTCAAACTGGAAAATAGCTGCATGTATATGGCAAGTGAACTACATAACATCAATAAAACAGATATCCTAAATCCTACTTGGAATTGCAATTGGCAGCTGTTAACGTGTTTTGAATTGTATTTGTTATTTGTAGTTTAGCAATAATCCACCACGATGTAGTTCTGCTTGTTAGCTTTGGAGGAGTTTGAAAGTGGTTGGGACGCTCCAAGATGCTCCCAGCTTCACAGCCTTCCACACTGCCTTGAAACCGGGGCTGGGGTTTGTCTCTCTTGAAAACAAGAACAGCATTAGATTTACATGCCCAGTTGCTATGTGGATGGAACAGGCAATGATCCCTTGGTCACCAAGCGGAATTCAAAATGTAATTCCAAGTACCGGCTAACATCTGTAAACAGCTGTGCCTTCCCACGCACTCCGACAGGAGCTTCCAGAACGTTTTAAAAGGGTCACTGAGGAATACAACCCCCAGGATGCACCGCACACTAAGTGTTTTAACGTGCCTTTCACACAGGCCTCATGTTGGACGTTGCTCCTCCTTGATTAAGGATTAAATGCAGTGATTACACTGGCCGGCCTGGGGCACACTGCGCAAAAACGAGCCACCGCTGACTGGGGCGGTGCTGCGCCGTCCCTGCCCGCACACCCGCGGCTGCCAGCGTGGCGGGGTTCGTGACCTTGTCGCTCCCGCGGCAGGCAGGGACCGGCGGAGGCCCCCTGACTGAAGCAGGGCCGCTGGCCCTCTCCTTCAGCCCCCATCTAGCGCGGCCGTCGCCATGGAGACGGGCGGGCCCGGCCTGGCGGGCGGGGCGCGGGGCGGCCGCCATCTTGCCCGCTGCCTGTCAGCGGGTGGCCGACTCGGGGCGGGCTGTGTGGGGCATAGCGTTCTCGTGTTCCCAGGCCCCCCGCCTCAGTGGTAGTAGTACCGGGTGCAAGGTGAGTTGGAGGCGGTGCAGAGCTGGTGGTGTAACCGAACCATGGTGGTTTCGGCTCTCAGGTCACAGCAGGACGAGGCGGCAGAGCTCTGGCCAGGAAGCTCGCCACAGCCATTTGCCGCAGGGCCCTCCGAGGGACCCGCTCCTGGGGACGCAGCTGGCCTGAGGCAGAGGTGGCCCTAAATATTCAAAGCTCGTACAAAAACGCAAATTAAAAGCCAAGTTGCCAACTTACTACCACAGCACCAGCAAAAGCTGTGATTTTAAAAGGGGGAAAGCCTTAAGTAATAGAAGGGCTGGCTATGTAGCATGTGCTTGAAATGTATTCTAACAAAATTGATTAAATCATTAAACGAGGGACTGACGTGCGGTAGGGGGATGGTTAACATACCATCCTCTCGGGGTATTTCCAGATGAGGTGACCCACCTCAGAGCTGGAGTTCCCTAATGGCTGTTATGCAGTGTCATTGTGCCAGCCAGGAGGGGAGGGCCACCATTCTGTCACCCTCTTTTCCAGCTGCTGCTGCACGAAGCCGTCTTGGTGTGTGCCTTCGTGTGCGTTTCGTTTCAGCGCAGAGCCCGTCTGTGTGCCTGCCTCCCCCCAGCCAGCTGATCATCCTTCATCATGTGGAAAACAGGAGAAGTGCCCTTTTGCCCTTTATTTAATGCAGGAATAGGTTATGGGATTTCGTTCATCTCCTGAGAAGGAAACTGCATGCCCAAAGCAGCTGTTGGGCTGACCTCCCTTCCCTGCATGTGTGGCCCCACTTGCATGCTGGTGGGGAAAGGGAGATGTGGTAAGACTTTGCTTTGCTCTGCTCTGTGCTGTCCTGCCCTTGATGGAGTTGGTTCCACAGCTGAGGGCGAGTGGCTGGTGGTGACTCGTAGCCTGGGGAAGGTTTGGTTGCGGCTGTAGGGGGGCTGTAACCAGCCACTTCCCTTCCCTCTACAGGAGAGCTGTGTCAGCACCTCGACTGGTATCTGGCTTCGCATTCCCTTTCAGAGTTCATGAGACGTTAACTTTGAAAAGGGAGCCCCCTCCCCCCCTTCTGTATTTATGTCAGTGATTTTGGGTTTTAAACCATGCATGAAAAATGACTGTAGGAACTGAATACTCCCGCGTATGAATAATGACTACACAGGAACGCAGATTACAGCAGTTTTGCAGTGAGACTGCAGCAGTTTACATGCTCTTTGGGAACGTTATGAAACGTTTTTAAATGCTGGTGCATGTAAATGCATTGATTTCAGTCAGCCTTTTTTTTTGTCCCATTTGGATTTGTTCAGCTTAACAGCATGTCTCATATTTGCTCTTAGATATGCTCAGCAAATTAAGGAAATTAAAAAATGCATGCAAAAATATGGTGCTATGCACATGTATCAGGGTTTTTATTAATAGACTCCAATTTCCATATGATAGCCTACTTTTTTTTACTCTGGCTGAATGGATAGTTTATGCCAATTACATGTAGTTCAACAGCTTTGAAATCTGATTTTGCTTTTGTTATGCATAAAGACATGGGTTCTGTTTCAGGTTTTAATTAAACTCTACATGGACTTTAAAGATTCTATTGTCCTTTTCATTTAAATAGGATTTCTGTTAGATCTTTAACAAGACCTCAGTGGGGTTATAAATCTAAGCAATTGTCCTTATTAGGAGTAGATTATTCTCAAGAGATGGAAAGTTACAGAAGTAACTAAAACCATTTGTAGAGACTGAACTAAAGGTTTTTCTTCCTAACCATTAAACAGACTTGCAAATGACTTGCTTGGGTGCTCAAATTAAATTAAATTATACTTTGTTTATTTTTCACAGTTTCAGTGTAGGCTATTTGTGTTTACTTAAACTTTGAGTTTCGCTGAGCAAAATTCACTCCTGGGTACGGATCCTTATTTTCAGTATGCAGGCTGCAAATGAAATACGGTATATCCTGCAATTTCTTTTGTTAGTAACCCTTGCAACACTTGCCATTTACAGGGCTCACTAACTTAGTGTATTCTTAATTCATTGTATTTGCCACAGTAGGTGAGCTGTGCATGAAGAATTAGTCCTGCACCCCAGCCAGGTAGATCTGCAGGTTATGTAGCAGTGTGCAACTTGTCCAAAGATCTTCTCACGTGCTGGACTAAAACCACAAATTCTTAAGTCAGAGAAAACTTGCCACAAAACCAACAGTCCTGCCTAAGTTTGGCCTTCACATGTTTACAGCTGCTAAGAGGTGAAGGGGAATTTGACTCTAATGGTTCTCTTAGATTCAGCTGTCTGCTTCATTTGAGGGTATTCTCTATCCTGCAGGTGCTCGGGCCTTGCTTTGTTCCTGGTTTTAATCACAGGGTGGTTTCTGATGGGACATGGCCTCCTTTACACACACAATAAGATTATGAATTTCTGCTTTATGTTTCACTCCCACCTTTGTTAAACACATCGTACTGCAGTATTTTTAAGCATCCAGTTATTTGGAACTCCATTTTGGGGTGCCAGGTTTGAGACACTCATTCCTAGGACTTGGTTCTACCCAGAAACCAAGAGGCAGAGGCAGAGGTGTTGCTCAGGGACATCCTCACAGTAAGATGCCTTGTGAGACAGGCAGGTTTTTTTCCCTGGCTTCAGTTCCTGTCTGACTGAGCTGCTGCCCTCTGCAGAGCACGCTGCAGGAAGCTGGACTCCAGGGACACAGCTGCACGTGACCCACCACGTCCGCCTCCACCGGGAAGGAGCCCACAGTCCTGCTCAGCAGATGAAGACAAACCCTTCTTGGTTGCTGCAGCTGCATCAGCTCTCAGCCACCAGGTATTTAATGTCTCAAAGCTCTTCTATCCGTGGGCTTCTCTGTTCCTGTCCTGCAGGCTGGTGTCTCTGTAGAGCCCAGTACTGTCAGCTTCTAGTCTGCTTCTGCTTCCCACATGGTACTCTGCTGTGTTTCTCTTAATAGTGATCGCACCTCCACCCTTACTGTCTTCTAAGTGACACTGTAGTGATACTTTGGGGTAGAACAAGTTAAAGTAGAGGAGCTTAGCTGATAAATACTAATTTATAATTATACATTTGCTGCATATTTGAGGTAAAATGGCAGGGTTTGAGCCTTCATTTTCTTCTTATCACTCAAATGGCAAGATTTTGGTATGACAAGTCATAGAGGGAGGTGTAAAATCTGGTAACATAGTTCTTAAGTGTTATGGTTTCTTTCTGCCCTTATGGGAAACTTGGAAAAAATAGAAGGTGCTGACAGCAGTTAAGTCACCTGGTTGCTGCTCTGCTTTTGGTGTAAAGCTGGGGGAGGGCAGGGGGAGGAAATGCATACCCTGGCTTTTAGGTTCAGATTGCAACTCTTCCTTCCTCCCAGTGTAGTGCACATTCATAGAGTGGCAAACCTAGGCTGAGTCCAGCTACTGATTTGCACAAGATTATGAGGATGCTAAGAGTGCTTAGTCTTTGAGGTGGATTCTGGGGGAATTAAGAGATTCTCCATCCTCTATTGTGTGGCAGTTAGACCTGATCTAAGTAATGCTGTCTCTCAGACAAAAGCCACGGAGCACAATTTTGCTCTGGATTCTCACTGGGATGTGGGATTTTCCCTTTGTTTTCTCCAGCAGCAGGGCCAGGAGCTAACCTGTTCTTGGCTCTGCAGGGTGAGATTGACAGGGCCCACTCTGCCAAGGGGTATGTCTCAACTCATCCCTCTACCTGTTTTTCTGGGGATGCATGCTGTAGTCATAGGCAAGTGCTGGGACTCTGTGCCTGCAATATGGAGGTGATGATGTGTGTACAAGAAATGCAGGGCTCGCCAAATGTATTTCCGTTGCTTGCTGATGTGCATGACCTGACAATTAAAAGATTCCCTCCTGCCTTGCACTCTGAAGGAATGTGTGTTGCTTTCCAATACCAAGTATACCATAAAACATGGCTATATGCTATTTGCACACTGGCCATGAGGTAAGCCGGCAGCATTCTCCCCTGCTTGCAGCAGCTTCCCTGGAGGGGGAGCAGGCTGCTCAGAAGGTCGGGGTGTGTGTGTGTGTGTGTGTGTGTGTGTGTGTGTGTGTGCACCTGTGCATCACAGGCGTGAAAAGCTGCCCTCTTTCTGCCTGGAGGCACAAACCTGCTTTCACTCAGTGAAGCAGAGCGGAAAGCCTGAAGTCCTACAGTGACAGGTATCCCCAAGTATCTGCAAGATGAAGGGGGTGTGTGGGTGTAAGAAATCCAGTTTGTTTCTCAATGTAAGTAGGTGAGGTTTGGGTGGGAAAGTAATGGGAATGCTAAATGATTGCTGGTAACACTTAGTAAGATGACAGCAGATCTCCTTTATATTAATGTTCAACTTTTGAGGCTAGTTTGAATCTTACTTTATTAAAGAAGGTAGGAAGCCTAGAAGTAGCTCTTTAATCTTCAACTGGAAAATACAATTTTGAAATCCATTATCTTAGGAATGCAGTAGTCAAACAGAGTAATAACTGATGTTAAACCTGCTTTGAATGTTATTTAAAGTACTCTTCAGATGGAAACAAAAGTTCATAGGATGGTGGCAGGTTCGCGTGGAATATGTTTTGCTTATGCAGTTGCCCACATAAGGAAGAAAGGTTGATCAGCATGTATTTTCTGGCTGTGTGATTGTTTGGGAACTATCAAAAGCTAAAAAATAATTATGTGATTCAGAAATACTTCCGTTTGCTATTTGTCCCAACAGAAGGCTGTTGGAACTGAATCAGTGTTATTTTATAAGCACAGCTCTGCCCATGAGGCCTTCACAACAATGGGTACCCAGCATCCTGCATCTTTGGAGATCTTCAACATTAGATATGACCTGTTACTCAGTCTATCCCCACTACTGCTGGACTGTTCACCTTGGCACATTTTTGATCTCCCCTGGTCAATCCATACCTGATGCCGTTGTGTACATGTGTCCTGTTGCTCCCTACACTGTAATGCTCTCCTGTTTTTCCCAAATGTTGTCACATTTCCTTTCTTCCTGTGTTTTTCATCTCTCTTTGCCCATTTGTATAACACAACTGCTCTCTGTTGCTTTCAGCTTCTAATTTAATACTGCTGGTGAATTTATCAGTCTCTCTGCAGATCATTAAAAAGAGGCTATGTGGAACTGCATGTAAAAGAAAACACTGCATTCCCAAGATAGGTCACAGGCTGATGTGTAGCAGTGGTCATTGTTTTGGAATATTTAGCTTTGTTTAGTTCTTTAACAGATGCAAAATGATTTCTGGATCTCTTGTTTGCCACTTCAGTGTGAGACTACCAGGAACACAAATTCAAAACTTGCGGGACTTGAAAAGACCTGTGCAGCCCTAGGGAAAAGGCAGTTTGCCGTGTAAGCAAAACAAAAACCCAAATGAACAAAATCCCAGCCCAGCCACAAAACCAGTCTGCCCCAGCTTGTGAGCAGGTGAGAGAAGCCCTTTCCTCCTTCTCGCTCTCAGTCTATTTCAACCCACCATTGTGCTCTGTGGCTCAAGAGTTGGCAGAAAGGGATATGTGTGAGTCCCATCTCACAGTGAAAGGCAGAGCTGGCACGCCCGTGGTGTAAGGTGAACAGAGTTCTGCTCTTTGTTGCCGTTTTGGTGCTGCTCCTGTGAAAAGGCAGGAGCCACGTGATTGTTTTAATCCAGCAAAAATCTGTGCCCAGTGCTATCAAGAGGAGCATTTGTGTGCTATGGTGGGTGGCAGAGTTGGATGAGGGAACAAATCCAACTGCAACCAACTGCGTTGCTTATTTGGGCGTGTGAATGGTGGTATTGGCACAAAGGAGGGAGTTGTTAGGGTGTTAAGGGAAGATGGGCTTACGCAGACAGAGCAGTGTCGCCACAGGGTGAGTGGAGAGGGAGACTCTTGGTGCGTCTCTTCTGAGTGCCTGGTCCTAGGCTGTGGGTGGTACTGCTGTGCCCATGAGGGCTGCACAGGTCAGGTAATGCCAAAGTGTTAAAGCTGGACCAACAGACCCATGCCTTCATTTCATTTGTGCTCCCTGCTGGAGTTTTTCACTGGGAAAGCTTTCATTGTCATCCCAGCGTTAGGCCAGGGAAGGTGGACTCGAGGTTGCGCTTCTGACTGGGTTAAAGCACAGCCTTGGGTAGTGGCAGAATTTCTGCAGTCGCCCTTGCAGGTTGCATTTCCTGGCACAGACTCCCTGCACCCTTGGTCCTCCTTGGCTGCCTCCACAGCATTGCCAGGATGGTTGTTTTAACTCTTTTTTTACCCAGAATTCAGACAGCATCCAAGCAACACAGCAGTAAATAAGCCACTGGCTCCTTTGTACAGGGTCACATCCTTCATGTTGCCCCTGCTATTAGTGTTAATAATGTTGTGTGCATCTTCCCAAGTGCAGACTGGCAACTGGGGAGTGTAAAGTGTGCCTCAGGGGGCAGGTTGGCAGCAGTGGGTGTTTGAGGCTTCATGAGCTCTGTATAGAAGATGTTCAGCCTTGGTCAACAGTAAATTGGAACAAATAGCTCAGTCCTGATTACTGATGTTTCTAGAGGGGATGAGGCAGAAGGAAATTAAATTAAAAATAAACTTTGAAATGAGCTCACAGCTTTTCCCCAATTACTTACAACTTTAAAACATCTGATAGTAACAAAAGAACCTATTTAAAATAATGGTAAACTGCCATCTGCTGGTAAAAAAGTAATGCACATAATGAACAAGCAGACTTTCAAAGTGATAATTCTTTTGTATTTGATGTGCTACAGTCAAATATATACATGACAGGGAAGCTGCATATATTTATTTTACTGTTTTTCATCTCTATTTGCATTTTCATATAGAATATGCTAAACAGATGCTTACAACATAACTAACTTTAACGACAAGTGCAGAAAACCAAAGACAATAAGAATAAAGAATGAGGACTAATAAAAGCAGATGAGCGATCAGGATGGTGACAGCCTCCAAATGTGTCCTATTTACATTGCTAATAATGAATCACAAGCACTTCCTTTCTTGATTCCCCCCCCCCCCCCCCCCCCGCCACCAAACCCTCCCATATGACCACAATTGTAGCACTGAGAAGCATTTCCTGGCTGCTTCAACTTGATTTTTGTGTGTGTGTGTGGTTTCTTAGTCAAGCTTGTAAATAGGAACTAGGTCTTTAATTGTTCCTGATTTAAGTAGGTCATCTTCACCAATACACAAATCTCTAGTCGTCTTGTAAGCCAGGTCAGCTATTGAAAGGATATGGAAAATACTTATTACATAAACATGACCAGAGAAAATAATTTAACAAAGGACCACTCCCAGATTATATGATGTTACCAACCAGTTGCCATAAATCATAACTATGAGTGCACTACAGGGGAGAGACTATCAGATGTCATGTTTGTATAGTGCTTACCAAGTGGGTGTGCTGAGTATGACTGGGTCCCTAAGGTGCTGCTGCACTATAAATAGCAGTATTAGTGTGAATTACCTCCAGTGCAAATATCTTGCCGCTCGCCTTCTTCATATGCATGCAATTTTCTTTTATGATTGTGGTTATTCCAAACAGAACCCATTGTTTTAGCAAACTGATCTTGTCATAGGAAATGTTTAAAATGGGCAAAGAAAAAATAGGTCAGTTCTTCCTTTGAAATCAGAGAGAAGTGTGTATTTGTAATGTTTCCCAGGTTTTATTTCCTTGGAGCAGGTTTGGCAGGTGTGAGAGGAAGTTAAAGATTTATTTTTGGTGCTATGTACCAGATGTCATACCTGCTCTTCTGAGACAGTTGCTTTTATCTCCAGCAGTACCTGCTCTAATAGCAATGAAAAAAGTGACTTGAATCCCATTTAATGCATGTAGTGTGCAC